AAGGAAGGTCAGGAGATTAGGGAGCGGAAGTAGGCTGGCCAGCCTCTTTGCTGACCACAGTAAGGAATTGCTGCTTTCTTCCCATAATTTAATTTCAAAACTTCGATGAAAAGGCACCCCCTAAACAGACTTTTAATATTTTTTTAAAAATGTGAAAAATTGTTACAAAAATGGTCATCAAAAAGTGATCAATTCAAATTTATGTCTAATAGACAAGCCATATGGAGCTAACCACAAGGCAGACATGTGTTTGCAGTGATGTATGGGCATTCTCAAAATATGGTCATGATTTTGCAGGAGTGGACACTGTTGGCTTCTGATGTTGTTGGATTTTGACCTAATGTCACAAATATTCTGAAATTTCCACATGTCACACTTCACAAATTAGATAACAGTCTCTAACAGGTACCTTTGAGTTTAACTGGCCCAACACCTTCATTTGATGAGTGAGAAAACTGAGACTTAATGCTAGAAAGTAACTTGCCCAAGGTCACGTGACAGATAAAGAACTAGAGAACTCAAACTCAACCCCTCCCACACCATCCCAAACCTAGTTTATTTCCACTGAGTTCAACAACAGTGATAGGAAACTATAAACTCATGTTGAATCAGGAAGCCTCCTCCGATGAACCTCTACATCCTTCCCTTGCAGAAGACCTTGCATGTTGCAGGATCATCTGCCTGTCACAGCCCACATGTCCTCCTGAGCTGCTATGGTGGACTTCTTCAGAGCACTCGTAGCACATTCTCATGGCTCCAAGGACTCAGCCTCCTGCTTCTCCACCCCCCATCCCCAATCTTCCAAGAAATATAGTCAATGGCATGAACACCCAAGTTACCTCTGTGTTGGTGGCTGTGATGGTTGATGTCATCAGCACTTGCCATTAGGTGGATTAAAACTTCAGAAGTCATTGTCACCTTCTCTCGCACTTGCTCACCTACATTCACCTGCACCATTGACAAGTCCTGTGGGTTTCACCTCCAAAGTGTGCCCTTCATTCATCTTCACATTCATATCAGTATCTTCCTGCTTCCAGATTCTCCCCCCCCCCAGCACCGCCCCCCCCCCCCCCGCAGTGTTCATGGACCACACAACTCTACTGGAGGGCTCTTGACCTCCTGCTCTATTAAGTTTCTGCTAAAATCCCTGTCACCTATGAGATAAAAACCCAAGATCCTTAACATCACATTTGCATGCTCTCTAGTCTGACTCCTACCTCTGATTGAAGCCTATCATTAGCTCCTCCAGTCACCATTTATTCCAACCCAACTGAATTACTTGGCATTCCCAAAATAGTTCAGGAACTCTGTGCATCAACTCCATTCCCTTTTTTCCATTTCAGCCTCAAGAACCAGTTCATATGTACCCTTTTTTATGAATCATTCCTATGCCCCACAGAAGGAAATATTAATTCTTTCGTTGCCACTGGGAGGTTGCTCATACTCTTTTTATGGAACTTATTTAATTCTGCCCTGTGTTAAAGAATGAGTGGTATCTCTCTCAGTCATATCTCTTTCATCTTTGAGAATATGCCTCATTCATTTTTGTAGCCCCCCCCCCAACCTTAGTGCACCATGTAATGCTCTGCATATAACAAGTCCTTTTCTTTCTTAATGATTATTGAGCACCTACTGGCTGCAGAGCACTGGGCCAGGGTTATAAATGCTGAAGGGGAAAGATGCGAAATAACCAAGTTGCATTCTCTGCCTTTAGAAGAGCTGTGTTTTAGTCAGACAGACTCCTTCACCAATAACCTAAGCCAGTGAACTCACTGTGGGGGTGGAATTGGGTGGAGGGGAAGTGCTGAGTGTGGAACAAACATTCTCAGTGTTCCAAATGAGAACACTGGTATTATGATAGGGAGGGTGGGGCGAGGGAGGGAGCCAGGAGGCAAAGAATGGGCAAGGCAGCTTTTAAAGCCCATCTCTGTGCTATGGTCATTATGAAAGTCCTGTCTAGGTCTGGCTGATCCAGTCCATCCTTTCCCTAATACCCTGGTAATCGCCCTAAAGCAAGACTGATCATTTCATTCCCTGTTCAAATGTTTGGTGTTGAATGAATCAAGCGTCCCATAATTGCAGGCTTGTGTTAGGAGTTAGAGAGAACACTCGTTTGTAGAGATGAGACAAACTCCAGAAAACAGCTGGAGAACAAAGAAGCAAGAACAAGCTGCAAAAAGTGCTGGAGGGTGAGGGGAACGTATGGGTATGAACAGCATGAGTTGTGATCCAAAGAGAAAGAGTCAGCTTTCAACTACAGCCTCTTGGCCAGAAAAATTAGATGTACTAAGTGAACTTTAGGGTACTTTCAGTTCTCAGACCCCTGTTATTCTTTGAGATGGTTTATTCACTCATTCAACAAATACATGCTAAGCACTTCGACAAAGCATTCTCTAAATATTTACTGACCGCTTTCTATGCGCCAGGAATTCTGCTTGACACTGGGAAGAGAGCAGTAAATAAGAGGCTCTGCTCTTAAACTCTTGCAGGACAACATGGATGACTTATGTTAAACAAGTAAATCGAACAAAATGTGATAAATATAGTGATGAGGTAGTATAAGGTACTATGGAACCACAGAGCTAGGCATCTAAGAGCACATGGACTAGAAAGAGACCCCTAAAAGGTGATGTTTAAACCATGATTTTAAGACTATGCGTTAACCAGATGAAAGGGGAAAAACATTCAGGCAGAAGGCTATCACAGAATGAATTCTAGAGAGAAAGTAATGGGACTAGAGAGATAGCTCCAAGAACTGGACTTCACCCATGGCTTGCACAGAGCCCATCATACCTGTTGCCTCCTGGGCATTGCTATAGCTCAAATAGATACTAGTATTGCTGAAGAGGGCTGCCCTTCTCCCCCCACCCCCTGGAAAAAAAAGGCACAGCAAAAAGCAGGGCATGTCCATGTGGTTGAAAGACATCCAAGAAGCAGCACTATGGAGGGCAAGGAGGAAAGTGGTAGAAATTAGATTAAAGGATAGATAGAACCAGATTATGGGAAATTTTACTACCTGATGTCAAAGAGTTTGTACTTCTTCAACAGGCTTTTGTAGCATTAAAACATCTAGCAATATATGTCTAAGCTAATAAATACTTTAATAAGTATCTGTTGAAGAATAGATGCTTGAATGGATGTGTGGTTGAATTCATGGATTTCCTTTGCAGTAAACATGGATTCGTGAAATGACTTAAGCCTTTGCTCCAGGAAGGAATGTTGCTGTAATGGGAGATGGGGGTTCTCTCAGGTTTGCACAGCAGATTGAACTCTTAACCCCTGCAAGGAAGCACCCTACCCTTCAGAGAAGTGCTCAGAATCTCCAGCTTACCTCAGCAGTTGGAATTTAAGTAAATCTGCATTAAAGTTAAAATTTTTAGAGATAAGGGTCAAGTTTTTCCTGGCAGTCATTTAGATTTAAACTGTGAAAGGGTAGCCTGGATGCAAATCCATCATGGATTTCCTTAATCCATGATGAAAACAAGTAGCCTTCTGAACCTCAACGGTTTGAATATTCTCTAATTAGATTATTTGTAGCAATGACTCCAGAAACAGATAAATTCAAAGAAGAAAAGAAAGTAAATGTTTCAGGGAGAGATTTGGCCTTTCTACGGAGAAAAAAGATTATCATGAGAAGCTAAAAGACCTGCAGGTTTTGTGGGTCACTGAACCGCGCCTTGGAACCCCATCTGTCTGGGACTAGTAAGATGCCAGGGAGAAGTGTGGACTCTCAGAAGAGGGATATTTTTAGGAATCCAAGATGTCATTCTCAGGACTCTATAATAATCACCAAGCCAAAGTCTACCCTCTGGTTTACAACCAAAAGACTTTTTCTCAATTTGCTACGAAGTCATATCTGAAATTTGGCAGTTGATTTGACTCTAGGTATAAATAACAGATCAAAGTCAGTGCCCATGAGAAGAGTCCAAAATTATTGCTGAAGTCATCACAGAAGCTAAGCTCTCATTTGACGGTGAGAGAATCTGAATAGAGCTTTAAGAAAGATTCTTAATGCTGTTGCTAGGGACATGTGTGTGTGTGTGTGTGTGTGTGTTGTGGGTGTATGTGTGTGGGGGTATTCATATGTGCTCTCAATCAGTAGTGTCTCCCTAATATAATAAGCTGCCTCATTAATAGAATATCATTTGCCATGTTATTTCAGAAAGAACCGTGAAAAATGCCTGTGTAAGCAGCTTTCTAGGAAGTCCATTCTGTGTGTGTCGTTAGTCGGGTATAGCATAGAACTGTGAGAGGAGCCAGACGCACCCATCCATGGCTGGCACAGAAAACTTCCTCTGGAAAATGAGTCTCGTGGTGTCCCCAGAGCTGCTACTTTTTTCACAACTAGCTCAGACAAAAAAAAAAAAGGCAACTCAAGCATGGGTTGAAAGACTCTGACTGGACCAGGGTGGCTTCCTTAACTCTCCTGGCTCCTGCAGAGAGCCCCTAAGAACTGTCTAGGTGCCCTGAGGTGCGAAGATGTGGCTGCCACCTGTCACCTGTGTGCTTCTGGTCCCAGGCAGCTGTGGGAGGAAGGAGCTGGGTAGCCCCAGGAGAGCTATGGCTCACTGCATCCCAGATCGTTGAATGGGCTTGGGATGTCAGTTGATATTGTTTTCTCTGCAGTTGATACTGTGCCAAGCTAAGTGGCTGCCTTGCTACCCCTTGCTCATCTTTGAGTGGCAATCAGTTCTGACTCAGTCTTGTTTGCCATGAAGCCGGTTGTTCTGCCGCTTCTATTGAAACTCACAGATACAATAGGCTAAAGAAATACTGAAGTCATGGCATCTTTTTACTACGTGCACAGGAGCTTGAGAACTCAAATCTTCCCGGGACTACATTCCCGAGAATATACCTAGATCCTGAGCCAAGCTGTTTACCTGATTCCTTCTCTCCCTGGGCATCATTTGCTTTTTGATTTTGCATTAAGAGTAGATTAGTGATCATGGACTTCAGCTCTTGCCTGTAGTGATCCTGTTCGCATTTTATTCTTCACACAGAATAGGAAGGAGGATCGCTTGCTTTGCGCAGAGGCTGAGCCACAGGAGAAAGCAAAGCCAATGTGATTTATTGAATGAAAGCGCTGGACAATTACCAACAACTTGTTCCCCTGCTGCCTCGAGCAACCTAAATTGGTAAGTCAAATATATTGTGTTTTTTTTTATTGCATGTGGGGTTTTCTTAGCACTGATGATTTTTTTTTTAATGTGTCTGTGTTGCTGCGGTTTAAATGTTATTTTTTTTTAAAAAAAAACTGCTCTTTCCAAAGTTAGCTTCAGGCAGTCTCCGAAGAATGCTCATAACCAGATACACAGTGGTCTGCAAGAATACATACATGTTCACGTGGAGAGACGAGACCAGGATGGGGGCGAGTAAGCCCCATGTCTGATAACTGGGCATTTTGTTTGAGCAGGCTAAGGACATTAAGTACTTGCATAACTGACTGGTATTTTCTTCGAAAGAGAATATGTTCTTTTTAAGTTCGTTTTCTTGTCAGGTTTCTGAGTACCTATAAAATACCTGTTGGATCAGGTAAAGATAGGACCCATCAGGCTGACAATCTTGAACACAAACTGCTTTCTTTAGCTTGCAGGGGTGGGGGCGGGTGGAGTAGGGAGAGCGGTGTGGGATGCTGAGACTGGGGATGGACATGATGCTCTGTCCACCTAGGTGTGCATGTTAATAAATAGCATTATGACTATGATGTCAAAGATAACTGCCCAGGGCTAGATTTTCAGTGGACGTGCATGCAAATCTTGCTTAGTCCCATGCTGTAATTTGCAGTCAAGCTCTTTCAGTCCTTTCCCTATTCCTTGAAGACAGATAATTGGTAGGATGTACTATATTCAAAGTGGGAGATTTTACCCCTGACTATTGTGAACCTGATCAAGGCTGTTGGAAGCACTATTGATAATTAAGGCAGAGTTTTCCTCTTTGCTGAGCTCTCCCTACCCCAAATCCCCATGCTCACTTGATTTCTCCATTTCCTGAAACACACGAAAGGCAACCTCCACAGAGGTGGAGAGTGAATGGAGAAAGCTGTTGCTTTTACCACCAGCTGCACCAGCACAGGCTCCAGCTCCACTATAACTCCGTAGTCTTTTGTTTTCTTGGCTACTACAAGGCTTTATGGCAGCATTAATCCATCTCCAGTGGGCTCGAAGTCCATATAAATGCCATAAAGAATTGAATGTCTTTGGTGCACTTTATTTGCAGTATATCACTGGCTGGTTAGATGAAGTTGTGGCCTTGGGTGCTGACAAAGATGAATGATGTTAGAACAGGGAGCAGCATGCTTCTCTAAATAAAAACCAAAGTTAGGAAACCTGAGAGATGGGTGATGTTTTGCCCTGTGGATGGGCTCCCCAAGCCACTATATCACAAAAGCAGGGTCGTTCTCCCATGTGACCTGGCTTTTTTATGCAAATGATGGTAATCCAAAAAGGATCATAGGGAACTTCTACTATGTTCTAGAAGGCATGTGTGTCTGGGAAATTCCCTTGCTCTTCTTGGAACTCTATTCCTCCATTCTTACCATTCCTGACTGTTTCAAAGAAGATATGGTAAGCTCAGTTGATGCTTTCAGGAGAGCCTACTTTGAGCTTCCTTGTTGAGAGGTGCAGTACATAATTAGTATCATTGTTCATTTACTGCTTTTTTTAAATTCAACCACAGTGAGAGACACTGTGGTTAAAAAGTTGTTCACATTTGGGTTTCAGTCATATAATGTTCCAACACCTGTCCTTTCACCAGTGTACATCTTCCACCATCAATGTCTCCAGTATCTCTCCAACCCGACCCCCCATCCCTGTCTCCCTCTATGGTGGGGGCACTCTCTCTCTCTTTCTCTCTCTCTGTCTCTCTCTCATTTTAGGCATTATGGTTTACAATACAGATACTGAAAGGTTGTCATGTATATCCCTTTATGTACTCTCAATACTCTTGAGCTTCTTATTCAGAGTGATCTTTTCTACCTACTATTGTCACACTGGTCCCTTCTCTATCCTAACTGCCCTCTATCCCACACACACACACACTTGTGGCAAACTTTCAACTGTGGACCAATCCTCCTGGCCCCTGTTTTTCCTGGCCTTGGGTATTAGTCTCATACTTTTTTTTAATATCCCACAGATGAGTGCAGTCATTTCTTATCTGTTCTCTTCTTCTAAATCATTTCATTCAGCTTGATATTCTCCATGTCCATTCATAAGGAAATTTCATTACTTCATTTTCCCTAATAGTTGCGTAGTACTCCATTGTATAGATGTACCATAGTTTCTTTATCCAGTTGTCTGTTTTCAGGCATTCAGCTTGTTTACTGGCTATAGAAAATAATGCAGCATGTTTATTTACTTTAATCCAGAGATCATGCACCAGAAATTCACAGATAGCAGCTTAAATGGAAAAGAGGAATGTTCAAAATCCTTCCCCCATCTAAGCAACACTGAGCACTCGAGACCCTAAGGGTATTAGAAGAAACAGGTATAAAATAGCCTTTAAGAATCTCAATTTGGGCCAGAAAGATTGTACAAGGGCAAAACATTTGCGTACAACTAACCTTTGTCAGACTCCCGGCACCACACTCCTCCAGCACCACCAGGGATCATTCCTGAGCTCAGAGCCAGGAATAGCACCGGAGCACCTCTGGATGTGGCCCAACACCCTCAGAACCCTAAAATTAAAGTAAATGGTCCTATGAATACTTTTCTTCAATAGTGATTAGTCGTGACTTTTTTTTCCACATTTTTAATGCCAAGACACTGAAGATCTTAAAGGTTTTGAAGCACATATCCAAATATTTTCAGGGAGTTAATTTAAATTGGAATGGAATTCATGTATAGAGCTCATAGCGACTTTCAGTTATTCCAATTACCCTATACACATAGAATTCGTCTGCAGATGGACTAAGACTTGAGTTTCAGACAGCTCATTCGGAAAAAAATAAATACTTCCATCTATAGGATTAAATTACCTCAAGTTTTCTCACCAGGAATTCAGCAAATTACTGCTGTCTTTTATAAAATACATTCTTTTTTCATTTTACATTTTTATTTATTTTAATTAAAATTTGAATTATAGTTTAAGTAATACGGTTACAATAGTATTAAAGTTTATAATACTGGTGTACAAAACCATCACACACCACTGCCACCAAAGGCCACATGACTCTCCACTACTGTCTCTATGTCATGCTGATCCAATCCTCAAAAAATAAAAACAGATTTTCTTGAGAGGTAGTAATAAGTTAAGCCAATCATTTTATACTGTCACTGTCCTCCCATTGTTCAATTTGCTCGAGCAGACCCAGTAACGTCACATTTTGAGACTTGTTGTTACTGTGTTTGGCATATTGAATACGTCACGGGTAGCTTGCCAGGCTCTGCCATGGCGGGCAAGATACTCTCGGTAGCTTGCCGGGCTCTCCGAGAGGGGCAGAGGAATCGAACCCGGCTCAGCCAGGGCCGGCCACGCACAAGGTAAATGCCCTACTGCTGTGCTATCGCTCCAGCCCACTCATTTTATAAATGAACTAAATGGTTTCTACCTCCATTAGGAAGCCAAAAGATGTGTTAACATTAGTTCTACTTTCTATTTATATTGTACCTATTTTCAAGATTTGCATTATGATCAGTAGCGCACTCCTGATTGTAAAATTATGTAGCTTGACTATAAACTATTTTCCTCTTTGTATACGGGAAATTCAGATTGGATGCTCCCATCTAGATTTACTCTAGGCCCTTGGGAATAACTAGGTGGAAAGCTGGACTCACTGTAGTTCCCTGTCCACCCTTCCACCTGTGTCCTTTTTCTACATTTTTCTCTTAATTATCCTAGGAACCTTTTATACATAGTCAACCAAGAAAAGGCTCAGAGAAGTTATTCTGGGGCTTCTGAATCCTTTAACTCCTCCCACCAATCATTAGCCAGTTTTTGCTCTATTTTATTTTCTGTATCTTTTTCATCTTCCCCAGTCCTCTCCCTTCCCAGGGCCAAATGCTGTACCTGAAGTCATCAGCTCTCACAAAAGACAAAAGACAAAGGCCCTCCCGTTGATCGTCGATTTGCTCGAGCGGGCCCAGTAACGTCTCCATTGGAGACTTTGTTGTTACTGTGTCTGGCATATCGAATACTCTCGGTAGCTTGCCGGGCTCTCCGAGAGGGGCGGAGGAATCGAACTCGGGTCGGCCATGTTGGCCGCTTGTAAGGCGAACGCCCTACCCGCTGTCTACGGCCATACCACCCTGAACGCGCCCGATCTCTCACAAAAATGTTCCATAATTATCAAAGTTGTTGTCTCCTCTCACTTGGTTTCACCACCTCCTAATCCTCTTCAAAACACCTTCTGGCTACTATCAGAACATTGCTCTAACAATGCAAACCTCAGTTGTCCCTTAAATTTCTCTAGTGTTTTACGGTTGTGAGTAGGTTAAAACTTATGCTTCTTGTCCTGTGCATCTTTCAAGTCCCTTGTTGCTATCTTGCCATGCTTCTTTTCCAGGTCTTACAGAAATGAAATGCATCATTGTGAGTTTAAGAGAACAGGTGACTCTCAGGAAAGCTTCCCGACCTTCTGTCTGCACTCAGCAACACTGGCATTTCACATTTCCATGTCCCAACGTTAGCTATTAGGCATGATATGTCCCTTTTACCCTTCCTGTCAGTGATCTGCTTAGGTATCACCTCCTATAACCCATGTCTCTAATCTACTCCCTTGATCTCCTTCTGACACCCCCAAAGTTGACACTGCATCACTTCTTTGCAATTGAGAGCAGTATTTTAAAAGTTAAAATCTCTTCGGCATTAAATTGTAGACCTTCCCCTCAGAGGTATGTCCATTTTTCACTAGGTGAAACTAATAATAATGGTTCTTACTTCAAAGGGCCACGATGGGACTCAGTGTATTATACAGATAAACACATCATTCTTACTTTGTTTGGTAGCAGTGTGGGGACTTGAACTCAGGGCTTCATGTATCCTATATTATTATCTTCCAGGATCACAGACAAAGTACTTTAATTATTCTATAATTTTACATACCACATTCTTTCTTATTTATTGCCTTGCATAACTTAGCCTATGAATACATTGGGGTTTAATTATCTGACAAACTTGTTTCAATTTATCCAGTACTTTC